TCATGCTAGATAGGTCTACTATGGAAGCTATACATTTATTGAGAGATTTGATGGTGAAGTATAATAGAGAGAATAAAGAGGACATACATATGATATTTTTTTTATTTAGAGAAAGCATATGATAAAGTTCCAAGAGAAGTGCTCTGGAGAGTTCTAGAAAAAAAGGGAGTTAATAATGCTTATATTCAAGTCATTAAGGATATGTATGCATGAGGTGTTACTTTTGTTCAATTACAAGGTGGTTTGGCCAAGTATTTTTCTACTTCAGTTGGATTACATAAAGGACCAGCCATGGTTTAAAATTACGCAACAAGAGGCACGCCTCAGCGCAATTCTTCCCTTTAACACAACGAGGGGAACGATTCGTCCGTGTTCCGCGAGGTGTACGCCTCAAATCAGCAGAGGCACACCATCTCGCCTCTAAAAATGCTTATAAACCTAAACCTAATATCGATGCTTTTATTCATTCCTTTCGTTCTTGCTCCTGCATTTAGCCTCTTCGACTTCCCTTAAAGCATGACAGGGAGAGCTTCAGATGTTCACCAAAAGCTTTCTTTCCTTACTCGATAACGTTCTAAAAGCTTCGTTCGTTGCCTTCTTCAAACGTTCGTAGGTGGAGTCGGCCTTCTTCAAATGTCGTCTTCGACTTCCCTGCATTCGTGCGCTTCGACTTAGGCTGCATTCAGCATCTTCGACTTTGCCGCATAACAGGTAGAACTTCGAATGTTCGCCAAAAGCTTCCTTGCCTTACTCGACGACGTTTTGAAAGCTTTGTTGCCTTCTTCTAATGTTCGTAGGTGGAGTCGACCTTCTTCTTCGAGCGTGATCTTTGACTTCCCTGCGTTTGTGTACTTGGACTTCAGCGGACGGCTGCATTCGGCCTCTTCACACTTCGTTCACTGATTTTTGTTGAAATTGCATCCAATTCCTAACACCAAGGTAATCTATAAGTCAAATTGCTTACACGAAAAGGGTCTTTACACATCATTCGTATGCTGCTAGCTGTGTGCGCTATTGGTTTCCAACATGCAACAACTTAGTGAACCAAGTAACTAACAATTCTCAAAATTAAACTTACACAACTCGCCTTGGCCTGTTGGTTGAGAGCTTAGGCTTCCAACCAAAAGTTCTTGGGTTCGAGTCTTTGTATATGTGTTGTGTGTGTGAACTTGCCTTAAATGGCCTAAATGTCCAAAAAAAAAAATTTAATTCTCAAAATTAAACTTAGTTATTCTTAAAATTCTCAAAATTTGCAAAAAATGCATTTTTTAGCAAGATTTATTTTTACTAGTTATTCTTAAATTTTCTTGAAAAATATAAATTCACTTCAAAAAACCATAGATATTGAAATACACGAGTAATATGATAACTTAAACTTAGTCCAAAAGATTTGTTTTGGGTCAAAATCATATATTTGAGGTTCATTAAGGAAATCATATAAAAAGTTACTATAAAACTTTTAACGAAAAAAAAAAATCTAGCCACTTCAAAAAAAAAATCAAATTCTGCTAATCTTGCAAATATAAACAATTCTTATTTTAACTGTTTTTCATAAATTTTCACTGAGAATTATAAATACACTTTGAAAAATTATGAAAATTGTAATATGATAATTTAAGCATGTTCCAAAAAATTTATGATTTTCACTTTAATTTCAAACAACATATTCCTTGACATTTCATATCTTGTATTTTTTTTATGTTTTATATATATGACAATTTATTTCTTATGTCAGCTTTTAATATATTATTAGATTAGTATATTAAAATTTTATCATTTTGACTTTACACAATTTTCTCATTCTGATGCTTACGCAAAATGCCTTGAGGCTTACGCCTCGCCTCACAAATGAAAAACACCTCAATACCCAATTACGCAATTTTAAACATTGGGATCAGCTTCAAGCACATATATTTTCGCTTTAGACATGAATGTTTGTACTAAAAATATGCAAGAGGATGTACCCTGGTGTATGCTTTTTGTTAATGATATTTTTCTTATTGATACGACTAGAGAGAGAGTTGAAGGAAAACTTGAATTATGGAGGTCAACCTTAGAATCTAAATGGTATCGTTTGAGTAGATCTAAAACTAAATATATTGAGTGTAATTTTAATAGTAATAGATCTAGTTGGGGGTTTGTGATGGGAAATCAATTCATCAAAAAGATTACACGTTTTAGATACTCAGGTATATTATTCTAAGTGACCATGAAATAGATGGGATTATTATTAGTAGAATTCAAGTTGGCTTGTTCAAAAATCTAACGGGCCTACGTCTCTCTTTTACTAAGGCAAAGTGAAGCCTCTCTCCTTCATGGGCACCCAATACTTCAGATCAAAGAGAAAATATTATGCCCCTAGCACAACCGGCTAAATAACAACATCCACTTTAAGAAATGGAACCGTCCACTCCTAACCAAACGCACTAAATAATTAAACTTTTACAAGAACTATTGTTAAGATCAGCACTCTCTCTCTCTCGTTAAACCAAAAAAAAACAAATTCTCAATAGCCAAATATTCAAATTTGAGGATTAAAGGTTTGTATGATGAAGATGACTTGATGTATAAACTTCTCTCTTTTTTTTTCTCTTTAGATTCTCTTTTAGGATTTGTAATTATAAGAGTTATAGTTCCAATTGATAGCCACATTAATAATAATCCCACCATAATAATCATCAACATTCATAAAAAGAAAATCCTCAATTCATGCTAATTATAAATTGAAATTCAGGTTACTATTTGATCATATGGAACAATCATTATCATACAGCATGATCATTTCAAAGTCTAATCATATAATAAGCTAAACTTTATATGCTAATTAATTAAATTTGGAAGTATATCATACAGTACAATCAATTTAATTTTTGAAATAAATATTTAATATAAAATCAATCATTGTCATTTATTTTGTATTTAAGCAAATTATACAATGTGATCCATATCATACAATACAATCATAAGATTAGTCCTCATTAATTACTTTATCTCTTAACTAATCAAACAATTCCAATAACTGAAGATCTATGATCAAACCTAATCATACAATGCAATCCCTTATCACACGGTACAACTAGTTCAAGATTTTCCAGTAGTGCTTATTTCTTGGTTTATTTAATATTCAATTTAAATTTGAGTTTGTGCAAGTCAAATTTCCTGGCAAATTTCCTGGGAGCTTTATTGTCTTGAGCATGGCATACAGCCAGATGGCCAGATGCCAAGTGACAAAACAGTTGGTGGAGGTGATGATGCTTTCAATACCTTCTTCAGTGAGACTGGAGCAGGGAAACATGTTCCCCGAGCTGTTTTTGTAGATCTGGAACCAACTGTAATTGATGAGGTGAGGACCGGAAGCTACCGCCAACTCTTCCATCCCGAGCAGCTCATCAGCGGCAAGGAAGATGCAGCCAACAACTTTGCTCGTGGCCATTACACAATTGGCAAAGAGATTGTTGATATATGCCTTGACCGGATCAGGAAGTTAGCTGACAACTGCACTGGTCTTCAAGGCTTCCTCGGTCTTCAATGCTGTGGGTGGAGGCACTGGATCAGGCCTCGGCTCTCTTCTCCTCGAGAGGCTCTCTGTCGACTATGGAAAGAAGTCAAAACTTGGATTTACAGTCTACCCCTCGCCGCAAGTGTCGACCTCTGTGGTTGAGCCTTACAACAGCGTCCTCTCCACACATTCCCTGCTTGAACACACCGATGTGGCTGTTCTTCTCGACAACGAAGCCATCTAATGCATCTGCAGGCGCTCACTTGACATTGAACGCCCGACCTACACCAACTTGAACCGCCTCGTCTCACAGGTGATTTCATCCCTTACCGCCTCGCTAAGGTTTGATGGCGCCCTAAATGTGGATGTAACTGAGTTCCAAACCAACTTAATACCATATCCGAGAATCCACTTCATGCTCTCATCCTATGCTCCGGTGATCTCCGCTGAAAAAGCCTACCACGAGCAACTCTACGTTGCTGAAATCACCAACAGCGCCTTCGAACCGTCCTCCATGATGGCCAAATGCGATCCCCGCCATGGCAAATACATGGCTTGCTGCTTGATGTATCGCGGCGATGTGGTGCCGAAGGACGTTAATGCGGCGGTGGCCACCATCAAGACGAAACGGACGATCCAGTTTGTGGACTGGTGTCCGACGGAGTGCGGAATCAACTAGCAGCCACCGACGGTGGTGCCCGGCGGCGATCTTGCGAAGGTGCAGAGGGCTGTGTGCATGATCTCTAACTCGACGAGTGTGGCGGAGGTGTTCTCGAGGATTGATCATGTTTGATCTGATGTATTCGAAAAGGGCATTCGTGCACTGGTACGTGGGCGAGGGAATGGAGGAGGGTGAGTTTTCAGAGGCCAGAGAGGATTTGGCTGCTCTTGAGAAGGATTATGAAGAGGTTGGTGCTGAATCTGGGGAGGGTGATGAGCCTGAAGAGGGTGATGAGTATTGATTAGACATTTTTTTCTTAAATTTTAAACTATGTAGTGTTTGGTTGTGAGAGAGAGCTTTGTCTGTGTGTGGTTTGTGTTAATTTTATTGTTATGTTTCTGTGTTGGTCAGTTGGTCTGGTGGAAATGCTGCTGTTTCGTTTGACAAAATGCGACTACGAAGACTGTGCTTGCTTTAAGTTTGCTTTTGTTGATTAAATTACATTGTTGATTTCATTTTGTGATTAGAAAAAAAAAAAACTAAACAAGCACTCTAAAAAAGCAAACTCTCAGCTTTCATAAAACAGAACTTTTCTTCGCAACACTTTTTTCAGAGATTTATTGATTAGCAGAGGCAGTCAGTAAAAACCCATTCCAAACTGAGCCCAAACTCACCATCTAGGAATGGCATTCAAACTAAATGAAGCAACGAAGAACCACCTTCACAAATCAGCAAAACCTAATTACATCATGTTCATCAAATTTCGCCCCATTCGCTACCCCAATCAGACTAAAATACATAAAACAAATAAGAAAAGAACAAGAATCGTGAAACCATAACCTGGGCAATCGCTTCCTGATCGTCCTTGCAGGAAGCAACGATGGCGCACTTAGCGCGAAGGATTTCATCAAAGGACGCTCCTTCCCGCAACCCGAGAACTTTAAGCGCGTTCTCTACTGACATCTCCGATGGCGCCGAGGAATCATCCGCCCTCGCTGCCAGTGGAGTTGCCGGACGACGAGCCCTCCAACTTCGAACTCCCTTCGCATGAATCGATGCACGACAGGGCAAAGACTTGTAGATCACGGGATCTTCGATGCCGGTCCCCAGCTGCGAAGGAGAAACTGCCAGCGATGGAATTTTGTGGAGGAATGTGCGGTTGAGTACAAGAGCCGCCGCCATCCTCCCTCTCAGTCCGCCAGTTTTTTTCTTCCTCTTTTTTTATCAGATGAGATGGAAAGATGGACAAATTTTGAGAATTATTAAACAGAAATGACAAAAAAGAAAAAAAAAAAAAAAGTAGAGGACGGGCAACTCCTGAAGGAATACTTTGCGGTAGGGGTGTCAATTTTTGACACGACTCGAATCTGATCCTAAAAAATTCGGATTCGGGTTAACCCTAACCCGAAACTGGTCGGGTTCGGGTTGAACAAATCAACCCGTTTTAAAAATTGGATTGGGTTCGGGTTGACCCAGCAACCCGAAATTGACCCGAAAGTGTCACGAAAACTCATATTTGACCCGAAAACCCAAGATTGACCCGTTTTTGACCTGATTTTGACCCGACAATCGAATATTGACCCGATTTTTGACCCAAAAATTAATAATTTTAGGTCAACTTTGGGTCATTCGTGTCAGGTCAGGTTGACCCGAACCCAAATCGAGTCGAGTTCGGGTCCGAAAACTTGACCCATTTTTATGAACGGGTCGGATTCGGGTTGACCCGAATAGTGCCGGGTAAAATTCTGATCCGACCCAAACCCGACTCGCTGACCCGAATTGACACCCCCCCCTACCTTGCGGCACTTTGATGGGAATAAAGTTTAAAAAAATGTCAAGGTGTAAGTGATGACTCAATGATAATGTCCAACAAAACTTATTATCAAAGATTTTAGTTAAAATGATGGTGTTAACAATAGGATATTTTATATTTTATAAGAAAAAAAATGACTCATTATTCAATGATAATACTAGTATATTATAATTTAGATATATATTAAATGGTTGTGAAAATTAACTTTTGAATTGTAAGTTATAAGAAGAAGTTTATATGAATTAATATGAGATTTTTCAGTTAAAAAAAGGAACATTAAGCTTTTTTTTAATTAAGAGCAACGTCTCGTTAATAATTATATATCATAAAAAGTTTTACATTAAATGTCTACTAAAAGAATATATTAAATTACATTAAATGATGATAGATTTGATGAAATAATCAAAAAACTAAAAAAAGAGCCTTCAAAACACCTAGATCAAATGATCTTCTTCTAATATATGTGATTGTTGTCATCCAATGTAACATCAAGATAGTAATGCATCGAATCTACTCAACTTGAGTAAGCCAAAAATAGGCACCTAATTGCAACCACATCATTAACATGATTCATTGTCACCCAGATCAAAAAGGTAAAACGTATACCCCAAATGCTATCCAACTAGTTTCTATCTAAGAACTAAAACCAACATAGATAGGAAGAATGGAATAGAAAAGTTTCCAGCAAAATTGTAAGGAGCAAATGAGGTATTTAGGATATGTCGTATCAAAAATAAGTATAAATAGGAGAAGACCGTCATAAGGAAACCAAGGAATGTATGAAATATCTACAATCCATTCAATGAATATATTCAAACATCCTCAAAACCTTTCAACCAAACAAAACTCTATCCATTGCAGCCAAAATTATTTGCTAAGTGAATGACAATAATTTCATAAGTTACATAAATAACATTTTTTTTCATGCAACCATATAAGTTGTTGTCAAAATTGAAGGCCAAAAAAAGGTCAAGTAGCTCCCACATGTTCAAAAATAATAATTATTGGGTGACAATACATAAATATTACATCCACTCTAAACCACCATGTTAAAATAGAAAAACCTTTCAACCTAATTGAGAGAAGTAATAGCAACAAGAATGAGAGAAAGTTGATAACATTAAGAGTAGAATAACTAAATAATATTTGCAAGCAAATTCTCATAACTCTCATCCTTTTTGCCTTTTAAACTAATAGCAAAATGAATTTTCCATCAAAATGCATGTATTGTACTACTTCTAAATATGCAATTATTCCTTTTAAGCCAAATGTAATAAGTAGTAATATGTATAGCAAAAAAGGCGGCCTTGTTTGATAAATTTGCATTCAACAAAGTTAGCATGATTTTACACATGATGGAGGGAACCAACCAAATAAAAGAATTTCCCATTTGGGATGCAATTCTTAAGCAATAATAAAGACACCTCATAATAAAAAAATAAAAAAAAGATATGTGTGGCATTCATTAAATTGACTGCACAAAACACAAGTTTGATGCACCAAAACTCCCCTTTTAAAAGGTTATCTATAGTCTTAGGCCCTCACTTTAAAATTTTTCGAGCCATCAAAGCATAATTAATAACATAACCTTTGAACCAAATATGCTTATGTCATATACCCATAGGGGTGTCATGATATAATTTGGAGTAAATAAGCTTATTGGATAAAAGATTTTTTTCCCAACTAATAATAGTATGTCATGGGACTATCTAGAATGTTTATATTGAGAATTTAGTCCACAACCAATATTTTAGCACAATATGGTAGACACCATTACGAGTTGCAAATGAATTAGGATAACATACTATACAGGCTATAATGGAACCACTCCAAGATTTGAAATCTAAATTTCTCAAGAATAGAAAGACCATTGAATGATGGGTCATAGAAAATGGATAGGTAACTTCTATTAAAAACTTTGAAATCCATAAAGCTTCTCATTTTGCAAGCATAACAAAGTAATTGTTTCCAAAACAATGAAGGAATTATTGTGTGGCTTAATCCACAGGGAGACAAAACTTTAGAATAGAGGGGAGACAAAATTTTAGTATCTTCAAATAAACTTGGCCATAGAAAGCGTGTGGAGGGTGTCAAGAAAGGGATGGTCTAGTCCCTCCTTTTCCCTAGGAAGAGAGGTTATGATGAAAGAGATAGTGTGGATTTGATTAGTAATGTTATTCCTATATATAAAACTAGTGATAAGGCTAGAGATTTTTTTCCTAAAACCTTTTAGGAAGAGATACCAACTTCAACCAATAGTATAAATAGTTCTAAATAGTAGAATGAATAAGCTAAAACCTTCCACCAAAAGAAGCGCCTTCTACTTCCGACCACTAAGACATCCAAGGAGCTTATTCATGATAATAGTGCAATTAGACTGATTAAGTATAATGGGGGATAGATCAAATTAATTGAGGCCATTCAAAATAAGGAGTTTTTCATGTTTCCAATGCTGATAAATACAAGTGCCTCTGCAAGGGGCACTGAAATTTTTTTGTATTTTACAAGGACCATAAGCATGACACAAAGGAGTATAGACACCTCTCAAGCCTCGTTGATGATTTAATAAAAGTGGGAAAGATAAAATACTTTATCCTAGTGAACCTAAGAAAGTGAGCGAGAAAGGCTTGTAAAAGATCAAGGAAATTAGATAGTTCCTACACTTGCCATCCACATCATCGATAAAGTTCATGCCATACTCAAAGGAGATGGAGTTTAGAGATCTTAGGGGGGTTAAGACTTAAGTGACAACCAACAAAAGAAATTAACTCAGTGACCATGCTCTGAATGACAATAATTAAGGTCACTTTAATCACTTTCACCGAAGCTGACAAATTGAGAAGTGGGAATCCTTTCAATGATGCTATCGTGGTCACCTTGCTAGTTACGTGTTACCAATTTGGTAGCATCCCCATTGACATAGGGAGTTCTATTAACATTATTTTTAAATCCGTTTTGATAAAATAAAGTTTCTTACTTCTAAATTTACCCCTATTGCAGGTCCACTCGATGGCCTCTTGAGTGAATGATGATAGATAAAAGTAATGATCACATTATTGGTGACTTGAGACAAGGTTGAGCACCAGTATATGATGGTGACTGACTCCATAATAGTGAATGTTCTCTCCACTTATAATGTCATTTTGGGGTAACCACTCTTATTTTAACTTATCACATGGGAGTCAAACTCTCAAATAGAGTCTTGGAGATCACACCGAAGGGCGACTTGATGTAGTCTCAATCCTACTGCATACAGGTTATGGGGTAGTCGCTAGAACCAGTTTATGAGTAAACATGCATTCATCTAAGTCAAGCTTATATTATATGACATTTCCATAGGGATGCACTTATTCCTGGCATGTTTGTCCAAAAGACTCACCTTAATAATCCCTTACCCTCAAGGGCACTTGCTCTAGGAGGATTCAACCCTCTTAGTAGTATTCCTCATTTAAGATCATCCACCTTCTAGGGATAATCTAATCCAATATACATGAATTGCACACCTATAGAGGCCACAATCAAGACTCGTCTTAATTTAAAGAAGTATTATGGAGTTTATGATGGAATTATGAGGGGTTTAGAGAGGTATATTATTATTTTTGGGGGTATATTAGTAGAACTATTAAGATTAGTCTAGTTTGGGCTAATTTGGAAGACCACTTTAGAAAGTGACCTTCATGTAAGATAAATGGTTATAAATAATGGTGAATGATTAAATTAAGATGTGAAATTTTGATTTGGAGTTTATGGTAGGGTTTGGTGGAGTTTAAGAAGACGTTGAAGTATAGGGAATAAGACTAGGTCCAAGTGCTCCCTATTTGGGCTGATGGCTATATGAAAGTATTTAGAAGGGTTTTATGATTTTAGCTATTTTTGTATTGGTTTTAGAGTATGCTTATGAAGTAGAGGAACTTTTGTAAATTATTTAAATCAAACATTTAAGAGGATGTATAAATAACATAAAATAAATGAAGATAACTATCTAATCTCACCAATGAAAAGGCACACACCTGAAGCCACCAAGCAAATGAATAGAAATTATCCAAAAAATTATTTCATTCTAAAACTAAAAATTATAATACATATCAGCCTATATTTATAAGCATTATAAGACTAGCTTTTGGGAAAAAAATAGAGAAAAAAAAAGAGAGTGGATCGGTGGACATTAAAGAGGAGATTCACCTATCTAATTTTTTAATGCTTTTCCCTACCTAATCATTTTACGTCTAACCATACAAGTTTTTAGATGAAAAATAAAATATAAGTTATATTCTATGGGCTATTGACTTAGCTCTTGTAATTGGGCCTTTTTTACCCCTTTATTAGGCCTATGTCTTAGCTTTTGTAATTTGGTCTTTACATTGATTAGCTTCATCCATATAATATGCTTCATTAACTCCCTTGGCTTAAATTGAATTCTACTC